GAAATTAAAAGTCTTGCCCTGTTGCAGGTGAGCCAAGGATGGGTGAAGAGAGCCTCCTGCCTGTCCCCTGCTCACAGCACACGTTGTGAGGTCAATGGATGCTCAATTTCATTCGCTGAGGATAAAAAGTCACATAGAAACAGATGTGACATTTCTCAGTGTAGCATCTGCTGGCTCCAGAGCCACTGTGTGGGTGGAGCTGTGGGTGGGGGCCGTGCCCACCAGTGGCACCGACACCATCTGTGTGAGGAGGTTTCTTATGGACCTGGGAAGCTTATTATGTATGCTCCGGGGCTTGTATGACCTTCAGGAAGAACTTAACTATTCGCATCCTCAGCGTGGCTTAAGACTGCAGGCCCTTTCTGGTTCTCAAGCCAGACTGGACATTAGCAAGGCCACAGATTCCCCAGGGGGAGAGACCCACTCTCAGGGGTCTTTGAACACCTCAGCCTCTGGCTCCCAGCATCTCCATGGGAGGAGCAGCGGGACTTACCCATCCCTACCCCAGAAACAAGATATTTGGTAAACAGTAAGCATTGCATTTCCTATTCCCTCTGTCCTTGTGCCATCTTTTTCTCCATTTATCTAAAGCTCTAGCTCTCAGATCTTGTTATAGTCCAGTAAATAGAATGAAATAAAATAAAGATAGCAAAAGTGCTTTCCCACTGCCATCTTGAGAAAGAGGAGAAAGGAGTTGCGTGGGCAACTGTGGTTCCCGTGAAATGAAGCTGCAGCAGTGATGTGTGCCTGGCCTCAGGCTCTTTCATACCAGGAAGAACAGGAGGTCGGAGCTTCAGAGCCCCTGCCAAGCCATCTCACCACCTGCCAGGGCTGCAGGCCCTGGTCTCTTGTTTCGAAAGGCTAAAAGTCACAGCTTTGTCCTCTTAATACAAAGCTTCTCTTTCTGCCCTTGTCAGGGCTATGGAAGAGGAAAAAGATTTCACACACATCTCAGACCCCAGAATGTTTTTTTTTCTCTGGGGTATGGGAATTTAATGGTGGAGCAGCAGTGTCAATCAAAACTGAGATTACAAAGTATTTTGGGTACAATTGTGTCTGTTGCTGGTTAATCTAAAGAAGTGTTTTAAAGAAAAAAATACCAAAAATTATGTGAGGAACCTGATAGGTAAAATTCTCAAGGAACTTCTGTGATGCTGTCAAACTCTTCCTGTCATTAAATGGCATTTTGCTCCTTCTGGTCATTTCTATCTGGGAAGCGTGGCTGAGGTGTGTTGCAGTTCCCCTGCTGGCCACATGGGACCCCTTGTACCTTGGGTTCCTCTGACCTTGAACTCTCTCTCACCCGTGCCCCTGCAAGTCCCTGGACCCTCTCCATGTAGTGTGACTGAGTTGGCTGTGCTACTAATTACAGGGGTTTCTGGTGGCAGTGGTCCTTGCTCATTTTTGGAGTTCTCATGCTCCATGATGAGAGAGGACAGCTGTGGGTGACAGGCTTGCGTAGTTGACCTAGGATCTTTCTATAAATGTATGTGACTGCCCCTGTACCATGTGCGTTGTATGTTTCAGTTGAAGGTTTCTCAGTGATCGCAGGCATCTTGTAAATCAAGACATCTTAATGGTACAATGACAAATGACTATTTCTTTTTTACTTCTTTTGTGTTAAAATACACACAATAGAGTTTACCATCTTAACCATTAAGCATTCAGTGATAATGAACACATTCACACTGTTGTGCAGCCATCGGCACCATCCATCCCCATAACACTGTTCATCTTGTGAATCTGAAACTCTGTAACTATTGAACACTAACTCCCTATCGCTTCTCTCCCAGCCCCAGATAGGTGATTAAGCTTTGTGCTTTCTGTCTTTCTGATTTTGACCACTCTAAGTACCTCAAAGTGGAATCATATGGTATTTGTCTTTTTGTGACTGGCTATTCAGGGTTCCTTGAGATTCCATATGAATTTTAGGATGGATTTTTCTATTTCGGCAAAAATATTTTACTGGGATTTTGATAGGATTTGCATTGAATCTATAAATCGCTTTGGGTAATATTAGCATTTTAACAATATTGTCTTCCAGTCTATGAACTTAGGATGCGTTTTCATTTATTTATGTCTTCTTTAATTTCTTTCAGTAATGTTTTATAGTTTTCATTGTACAAGTCTTTCACCTTCTTGGTTAATTCCCAAGTGTTTTCTTCTTCTTGATGCTATTATAAATGAAATCGTTTTTGTGACTGAATAAGTATTTCTTAAGAAAAAACACATGGCCTCGGTTTTATGTGTTTCCTTTAGAAAATTGAGATATAGAAAATAATTAAGAAGAAAATCAGTCATAGACAGTACCCCCATCACCCCCTCTATACCTTGTCATTTTAGTATTTATTTCTCCGTACCTGTTTGTATGTTTTCACATGCATGTATCATACACATACACACACATCTACACATATATATGCATATATATTTTTGCAAGTTGGGTTATACTATGTTTTTCTAGACTCTATTTCTCTCTTAACAATATATAACAAAAACTTTTTTCCAACTATATACAGATGTTGCGAAACATCCAATGGAGGCATATGGCAGCTTTGATAAAATCAAACACACAATTCATTTTTTTTCTTTTTAGCCCAGGGTAGAATATCTGAGATTCTTGCATTTGAAAGGTGCAAGCACCTAATTTGACCTGAAAAAGCAAGTTCAATAAATAGAATTTTGCTGAGCATTCTGTTTCATGGAAGTATTTAAAGATGAATGAAAATGATGTTAAATCTTAGGGCTTCATGCCTCAGGGACTGGGCTTTATCAGGAGTCTGCACTGCTAGGATGTAGCTAGCTAGCTACCTTCTCTGACACTGGTTTGTCCTGTGGCTTCAAAGTTGTAAATGGATTCAGTGGAATAGTGAGTGAAAACATGGTGATTCTGGGGACAGGAACTACAGTGTCTTGCTCACTACCGCATCCCCAGTGGCCAGCACAGTGCCTGATACATCAGAGGTGCTCAATCAGTGTTTGTTAAATGACTAGTGTTGCAGTTACTCTTATTGCAGCTGGAGGGATATTTGGGCACTGATGCTCTCGGTGTCTCTTTCAGGAGGGCTAGAGTCCACGCCTTTGGTCCGGGGTGTAAGAGGCCGAAGCATCAGCATGAAGGCGCCCATCCCATCCCGAGCCAAGCCAGGGGCCTTCAAGACCATGCCCCTCCGGTGGTCTTTTGGACACAGGGAGAAGCCACTTGTTGCATCTGTTGAGTTGGTGGAGTACTTGGAGTCCAGACGGAGACCTCGATCCACGAGCCAGTCCATTGTGCCGCTGTTGACAGGCGCTGCTGGTGGAGATGAGAAGTCAGTGGTGCTGAGGTCAAATGCCACCCTCTCTGCTAAGAGTGAAGATAGTGGGAGAACCAACGAGAGAGTACTGGCTGGAGTGCCCTGCCCTGCGGACCACCCCAGCCAGTGCGCAGTCCCTGGAATCTCAGATGGTCTAAACCCAGCAAGGAAACTCAAGGAAAATGCAAGACAGGATATCAGGCTTCCTAAGCAATTTGACCTACCCCTCACAGTCATGCCCTCGATGGAAAGTGAGAAACGAGCCTGGCCGGAGGGCCTGAGGACCACGAACTGGAAGGGAAGTGGCCAGGCTGGGAGCAATAGCAGAGCATCCTCCCCCAAAGAGCCTTCACGTGCTATGGCATTATCTAGAAACAGTGCAGAGACTTGCCGAAATCCCTTAGCCAAGGTCAGAGCTAATAAAGAAGGAAGGGACTCCGAGACAGGCAGATTCTCACAGGGGACCCTCACCCTTCTGAGATCTGTGTTTTGGAAGAAGGAGAACAAGAAGAATGACAGGGCTGCTGTGACCCCCCAGGTGTCTCCAGTCTCCCTGGAGAGTGGCAGGCTGAGCCTGGCTGTGGATGAGCAGGCTCGAGGCTCATCCCCTTCCCTGAGGATTCCAGAGAGCCTGGCTAGGGGCCCGGCCAGCCGCATGGAGGGGGCTGTCCGGTCCGCACCCAGCTCTCTCCACCTCCCTCGAAAGGCCAGTAGGCCCACAAGGCCCAGTGCCTTGAGCACATTACAAGGGAGTGTTCTTGGGGAACAGCCTCCTTTTGGCACCTTGCAAAAAGTGAAATACCA